GAAACGCTAAACCTAACAAACTGATGAATTCATTTCCACATTACGGTATATTTCTTTTTTTGTTCGGTGTAGCACCGAGCATCGTGTTTTGTGCATTTAATTTTGTCGACGAACGTTCCGGATCGTTCCAGACGAGGGACACGCGTTTTACTCGACCTTTTATAAGATTCAATTTCTGAAAGCACAAACGAATGAATTCTTTTATTTTTCTTCTTCTTCTTCTTCTTCTTCTTCTTCTTTTCATCTATCTTTATACGAAAGCCTTCGAACGCCTATTTATCAACGCCACCAATCGCTTACTTATACGTCACGCTAGCCTTTTTAAGCTTTTCTAGCAACTGATCCTGGAAGAACTTTCAGACTTTCGAGAGGAATTCATCGAGAGGAATCCAACGTGGATATTTTTCATTCCGCGTATTTCTTCGCTCTTATCTTGTATCGAGTGTATTCTAAATAGATTTTAGACGAATTTTCAAAGAATTATTATATTATGCCTATGGTTTTCACCTTATCACGAGAGATAATTTTTAGCGAACAATGATCTTTTCTCGTTCTTCCTCTTTGAATTTGTTGTAAATTATTGATCTTGAAGTAGTATCGTTGGATCTACGGATTATAGTTTATATTACTAACAAATAGATACTACTAAAACTTAGGATATTTGATTTCATTTTGTATTTTACATTCTCCGTGTCAGAGATTAAGTAACGAAATTTAATTGAATCAAAAATTTCAAAATTAAAAATAATTTCAAAATTAAAATAATTCCGAATGGTTTTCGATATCCCAACGAATGATATCAACTGAGAGTTAGTATTATAAAAGGAAATTGTAAAAGAATAATAAAAAGAATTATGAAATTGAGGAGATCGTAATGAAAGCGACACTTGTTAGGTTTCTTGACTTTTACGTAAGTGTTTTAGTAAGGAGAAGCGAGATTTATAACATGGCAGAACCAATACCATAAAAATGATTTATGTTCTGATCTATTGTCGAGTAAAAATTTATTGGAACTATAAAAATCGAGATTATTATATTATTATAATATCATGATTATTAGTTTTAGACAGATGATGACTTTCGTATCGAAATGATTAAATTTGATAATTGAAGTATATTTAACTGAATAGATCTTTCAGTAAATATTTAGTTGCCCTTTTGAAAAAGATAAGCATCGATAGATATTAAAATTCTATTAATATTTCTTATTTTTTTAATTCAATGACAAGGAAAGTATTTTCTTTTCTTGAAAGTTTTCTTATAAGAAGAATACGAAAAAGACAAGTGAATAAATAGTTCATAAAGATTTTGCTGATTTTTCACGAGTATCTTTTTGTTTTTGACCAATCTAGTAAAATTGTTTCGATATATGTTTTCGTACCTTCGTGCGATACAATTATTCAAATTGAGAATAAGGTAACACTTTCCAAGGCATGAAAATGAGTGCCTGAAATATTCTGCTACTCACGATATTAGGTTAGCACACTCAATTATCTTACGAGGAACATGGAATGACGGAGTTTAGTATGAATGACGTCAAATTGCATCATTCTGCATGATGACATTGCAACGAACGATCGAGTATTGAGCCGAGTAAAATTGCGGATAATAATTGATATGTTCAATAATAATCGAGAGCTAGTATTTTAAAATTGTACCGTATTAAAATAATCGATAAGTAGGAAATATAAGATGATTTCTCATATATCTTGACACAATTTTAATCCTTTTGTTATGTGATCTTTTAAAAATATCACGTTGCGCTCATATTCTAATTTATACACCTACTGTATATTATAATATTATAGTATAATTAGCGTAATATGTTCTTAGCAGCATAAACATTAATAGGTAACAAGGCATCTAAATTTGAAACAGTACATAATTAAAATTTCATATAGTCACGATAATGTGAATTGTCTGAGATATTTCTTGAGTTATGAATGACTGAATTTTATAGTTTAAAATCGACTAAATTTTATATTATAAATAAACTGGTAATTAAATTGATAAAAAAAATTTTATCTCTATTTTATCTCTATTTTATACTTCATTTCTATTCCATTTTTTATTTACTTCATTTTTTTCACTCTGAGAGGAAATTAAATTTAACACACAAGGTATATGAATAGACCTCGCATACAATCGTATTATTTTGTCCTACGATTTTGGAATCCTAAAATCCCCTTACCATTTTCATATCCTGTTAAAAATTACTGTATTACAACTCATTAAAAATTAATGTATTATTGTTTAAAGTTCAGCAAAATAAAGAAAACAAATAGTAACTAGTTTTAAGGTCTCACTGTAAAGGAAAATTGCAATTTTCAAGATCACGATTGATCTGATTATGAAAAAAAAACTATTCAGTGATAGGAGAACTTTTCTTCGACAAGATTTTTGAATTTTTACAATTTTCAAAAAGAAAAGTTCTTACTTTTATACTTGCTGCATGATGTAAAAAAAAATAAATATCCTTGAACGAAACAAACTCAGAATTTTTGAAGTGGAGACTTCACTGTTTAAAATAGAATCAAATTAATTGTTTTAGAATTTTTATCACGAAATTATAACAGTTTAAAATATTGAGAATTTTTTATGTAGTGTATGAATATTTCGTTCTTTTTCGTTCAATTTCTCATGAATTTTGTGTATTTGATTTAGACTAGAATTTTTTATTTTTTTAT